TACTGGTTTTTATAATGATCGTAGGTCGGTGGCCTTAGCTTAGCTTCCTCTAAGCAAAGAGCTACAGCAGCCCCGCCGAAGCGACAATAAAATTGAATTGTGGTTTTCACAATTTTAATGTGGAGAGTGTAACGAGGTTACACGTACCCTGTTATGAAAGGGGTGGGTCGCAAGATGGTGTGATGATACGTATGTGTGGATTAAACAAGACGGTGTTATCACACAATGGTTTGGCTACTCCGTAACAAGAAGCCACTTCGTGGCGGCACTGATAGTACTTATGCATATTATGTATCGATTTAGATATAAGATCTACGGCAGCCCCGCTGCACCAGTGGCGCCTGCTTACTATAACTATTTAAGCAGATTTGAGTTCAAACTTAGAGGTAGTGTTCCCATTTCTCTACAAATTTCTGACATTATTTATTCATTATTCGATTTCTCATAACTAAATAAATTAGCGTTGTACCCACGTCGTTTTGTGGGTGTTGTCTTCAAATAGCCCATTGTGTGCCGATAACGCTACTTTCCCACCGCCAATGAAGGCAGTATACTTCTACCGCCATCAAGTTGACGCCTGCACGCGACGGAAGTGTCATGACACCGCCTGCCGTGACAGAAAATCCGCCATCCTGCTTGCGATTGTATCGCTGCCACACTGTGCAGTCCATGCGTCGCTCAGTATCACTATGGTTGTCCACATTAAGTGAGCGCAGACCAAGCAAAAATCCGGTCGGCGTTTCCGCCCGAAAGAGCACTGCAACGACGCGGTCCATGCGTGGCGCGGAATAGTTAGGCATGTCATATACGATTACAACATCCTGGTCCAATTTTGTCACCTGCTGCACCCTAATGAAGCTGTGCTTCACACGAGATACGTTCTCGGAATCTGTCACGATTGCCAATGTCTTCTTAATCACACCGTGCATGTTTACCTCCTTGGGATAATCCTTCTTCAATTTGAACGAGAATGCGCCATGTTGAGTCAAAAAGCTCTTGTAATCCCATCCAAGTTCGTCATGGCGATCCATGAGTACTCTACCATTCATTACGTAGTTCAGTGCAAGGTCTATTCCGTCCTTAACAGCTGCCGCGCATGTTGCTTTACTAATGTACTGGCTCAGCTGCTTAATCTCCAGCCAGCTGCATCGAGAATGCAAACGAGAAATTTCACAGTGTGAGCTCTTGGTGTATCTTTTGAGCCGGTCGTTCTCCATAGAGAGGCCTTGTATAACACGCTTAAGTCTCTTGATCGCAAACGACAATTTCACCTTTTTGGTGTTCCTTTCGTCGCCACCCGAATATTTGCTGCAGCGAGAATAGTAAATATGACTAAGATCCTCTACCTTGGCGCGCAATTTGCTCAGCATGTGCTCAATTGATCGCCCATTGCTCGAAATAGACACAGACGACGGTACAGACACCTCAGAGTTTACAGGGAGAATTCGATCGACGAAGTAATTAGCCATGTCATCCTTTTCGCTCATCGTCGAGTTTCGTAGTAAAGCATTATCCGCGTCAATAGGCGACAACAGCATGCTGGTGGCGTTGGTACTCTGGTCTACAGAGACGGCTAGCGGGCTCTCAGTCTCGGATTGTTTACTGTCACTTATGGATATCTCTCGGATCCGAATACCTTTCTCATCCGAAAGAAACATTTCTTGAATCATGCTGATTTCTTCACGAGTCCATGAGATAGCGGGTGGCGCCACCCACTGCGAGGTGCTAGTTGACAAACAAAAATCTGCTTCATGCTCCATCTCATTGAAGCTCATCTATTGCTTCGTTTTGTTCTTTAAAATGTGCGTGAAATGTGGTCTTCACCTGTGCTGTCTTTGGCAGAAATCTAACTGACGGGTGTGTGATGCATATGAACGACTTTGCGTGATGAGTGCGCTGTTGCTACGGTCCGGATCTCTTTGTGGTTCGTTGATCGACTTGCAATACCAGCGCGGGCACATGAGGCATCAGCAAAGCGCGCAAGCAGCCCCGTCCACCGTCTCTGCAATCAAAAAGTCGAGATTGGCATCAGACGGGCCATGTACATGTCTTTTACAACAACAGATTTTGATTGGAAAGAGCTCGGCGCTGCACTCCTTTCAACTATTATATCAGCTCCAACAGCGGTTGATCGTTTGGTCGCCCGCACCAGTCGCGACACAAAGATAAGACTGGATGGTGTTACACACCAGCCATAGTTGACATGGAAGTGCCGCTTGAGCAGAGCCACTCCGTACAGTCACATTAAAACCATTTGCTTACAATGTACGAACTTTAAAGAACTTTCGCACCACACCAGTGACGGCCTCAAAACACGTTCTCTTGAAGAAGCCTGGCCTTTTCGTCAATCCATCAGCTGTTAATACAAAGGTATATTTTAACTTGGGCAATGGTGTTGGTTTGAGAATGACAGGTTGAGATTCGGACTCTCAGCAGACTTTGGATTGCGATAAAATCGAAACGTTAGGAAATAAAAAGCACAAATTCAAAAAAATGGTGTGTAGGAGCGGACGAAGCGGTGATTCAATACATATGCAGAGTACACTGCTCAATTTTATGATACTTCATAAACGCAATTATTATCCAACTTTATCTTCATCAATTTTGAAATGAGAAAATATGAATAGTGAACATTGTAGCTTACAATTTTCAAAAGTCGAGAGCTACAATTTTGGACCAAACAATAGTGCATCATCCTGCATTCTTAGAATGTTGCAATCTAGAAAGATGGATCGAGGTTTTTGCCTTTGGATTAGTATAGGTTCCTTGTGGAAATTTTGCAGATAGCGGACATGAAAATGGCGCGCATTTCGAGGTACTGGGTGAAATAACTATTGTCTCGTGACTATCGTGCTTAGACAATACCGTCGTGTTCTATCAGTACCATGTAAGACTCGTGTTGATCAAAATGAGCGCTGATCGAGATGAGAATGGTGATATATATAAATGCTGGACGTTTACGCGATAGTCAGACTGATTGTTGTCTTCTTGTGATGGATCTTGATTGTTCAGGTCAAGGACAGAGTATCCGGCGATGTGTTCGTGATCCTACACATTATTTCTCAGAAAATGATTGAAAGGAACTGCAAAAGATGTGGTATGTGTGTGATGTGACTCTATTTGCTAAGAAGGTGGTGCCATGACGAGACAGAATTGCTATCACGCTTTGGGCCGCTAAATTGTGGATGAGCATTTTGGTGTCCGCGTTGGAACCGTCAACACTCACGAATATTGACAACGGAAATTGTTTCCAGATTAGTGCTTCACAATACATTGAAAAAAATCAATGCGATCGCCGGGTTTGGTTGGTAGTTTGATGAACGCTGAGCTTAACTTAGAAAAAAATCGATTAACATGACCAAAGAGAATCTCGGCCAGCGCCTGTCCGCCCAACTCACCCGGCAGAATTGCGTAAACGATACCATGAGCGAGTTCCGCAAGACCCTGCAACAGACGAGGGCGACCTTGAACTAACACAAGAATCACTTTAGTACCCGTAGCAGCGATTTCGCGGACGTACTCGATCTGACCTTGTGGCAAACTCAAATCATCAATATCACCAGGCTTCTCAGCGTATTCTCTTTCACCGATGGCTACAATCGTGTAGCTCGGCGGGATCCCTCGACTTTTGATCATCTGGAGAGCATCCAAGGAGAATGAACCATTAGGATAAAGGTCATTGGCAAAATGATACGAGCCAGAACTCGTGTTCAAAATGTTGATGATTCCCTGATGAATCGAGATTCCGTTCGGAAAAAGATTGTTGCCGGACACGCCTTGCCAGCGCAGTGACCACCCGCCACACAAGAGACCAACATTGTCTGCTGCATGGCCTGTAAGAAAAACGTCGCTGTTCACGTTCAAAGGAAGTACATTGTTCTCGTTCTTAAGGAGAATAATGGACTCGCGTGCGAGATCTAATGCTGCTTGACGACTCTCGTTTTGACCTACAAGCGCAATATCAGCTTCAGTTCCGGGAAGCGCGTTCTCGTACAAGCCGAGCTTGACCTTTGTCGATACAATACGTCGCGTAGAATCTCTAATTCGAGTCAGTAGAGCAGGGTTCTCCTCGACCGTCAGGCGAGCCATGTCGATGAAAGAGATATTGTATGGCACCATACTCATGTCGAGCGGAGCGTTTGTAAGGGCCATTCGAACTGCCTCTTGATCGGTCTTCGCTACTCGATGCCACACGTGAAGATTGTGAATCTCAGCATAGTCCGTCACAATCATACCGTCAAAGCGCATATCGTGGCGTACAAGATCCTGCAGGATCTTCGTGTTGGCAACGACAGGAATGCCGTTAATAGAAATATAGCTTTCCATTGCCGTCATAGCTCCCGCTTTGATGGCAGCCAGGAATGACGGAGCAAATTGGTTAAGTAATTCAAAATCGGATATTGTGACGCCGACGCGATCGTGACCGGTCGGAGTCTTGGAGTAGCCGATAATATGCTTCATACAGGCCGCTGTCGTTCCGTTGCTCTGAATACCGCGGATAATGGCATCGGCCATGACGGAAACAAGATAAGGATCTTCACCAAAAGTTTCAAATGTTCGGGCCCAAAGAGGATTTCGCGAGATTTCAAGAATTGGTGAAAAAAGCCAGGGAATCCCAGCAGCTCCCGTATCACGAGCCGTGATCCGCCCCATATTGTAGACCAGTTCTGGATTGAATGTTGCAGCAGCATTGATTTGCTGTCCAAAAAGCACTGCTCCACGGACGTAGTTGGCTCCGTGCACCGAGTCCAGGCCATAAATGATTGGATGACTGTGGTGACTTGCATAAATGTCTTGGATTTCGGTGATCAAATTGCGCCACTCTAGAGGAGAAAAGATGTGGGTTGAGTTTGAAGTTGAGTCGTTCAACTCAGCGCCTGGAGAATTAAGATAAGAACCGACATTTAGTCTAGCATGCTCGTGAACCACAGCTTGATTTAAAGTGCGATTTGGATGCAAAATTGTGCTCACATCGAGCTGCGTCATTTGACCAAGCATGTCACCTATATCCTGTACATTTGTAAAGTGCGTCAGCTCAAAAAATTACCTGACCAAGAGTTGCAAAATACGTACCATTGTCGACATGATTGCTTCAACGCGGTTTTGAACGTGCCAGTCGGTAGCTATCGATGGTGTAGCCAAAGAAGCTGTAGCCAAAGTGACAAAGCTTGCGAAAACGAGAGTTTGCAGCCCCATTATCGTCAATGTAAAGCCAAGTTCGTTTGTTGTTGTTGGGATGTAAATTTGAAAATGACGGTTTGCCTATTGCTCAGCAGGTGCAATCCTTACGGCTTATAGTCTCCCTTGGCCAATATGGGTTATGACCTGGACGAAGATGAATCTCTGGCCAATCGAAAAAGTACTGAAACAACTTGGAATTTGCGTCTTGAACTTCGGTTGCGTCGGACAATCTTGGAATCGCGCACTGCTCGCAAATCTGTCATGGTTATATCATCTAAACATACCAGATTCCTGAGGCCTACAACAGATAAATCTCCTTATTGCTTAAGCGTAATTCGTTTTATCCTTTTGCTGCGATATTCGATACGCTGCAAGTTGAGCTTGCAGCAGAATTTGCCTGCGCTGGTTCTGATTGATACCATGTTGACAACCAGTCAAATAATATTGACATTCATTGCGTATTAAAACAGACACGTTATGCCGTGTCTCAAGTTTTAGCTGATACGCTTTTAATCTACGATTAGTGTTTCGTCTTACGCAGTCGTGCCGTGTTGATGAACGTAAAATCGACTAATTGGCGAATCTTATGCTATATTCATGTCATAGCTTTTATATTTACTCTTACCTTTTTATTACTAGGATTTTGGCTCGAATGCATTGCTTGGGCTATTAGGTTTCGTACGACGGGAACAGAAGCCGTAAGCAATGCATTTGCTTTGCCAAAGCCATGTTTAAGTGAACCTCTAACCAGTTGTCTCACCGCCGACACACAGAAAACAATCGAGAGCGAGATATTGACGAGTAGCAAATCGCATAAGCTTTTGGAGATTCCAATTCGGAATAAATCCAGATCCAAGCTCGCTGATTGCCTAGGGAGTGATTGATACACTCGGTTTTCCTTGTAATTGCGAACAGCGAACAGGCTACGAGATTCGAGTGACCTCTATAGCAGACGTCATATCCGTATGTTAAAAAAGCGCTTAAAGCCGACATATTTGCACAGCCATGATTTAGCATACTATCAAAATACTTTATATCCCACTAAAACGAATATTACAGATACATACTGCAACTTAAACTTGCAGCTAAATTGTATATAAAAATGTATCTGATACATCCATACCCAAAGTAATATATTTTCGGCACCTTTACAAAGTGATATATTTTCGGCACCTGCATTCCATATCAATTCCATATTGTTTCTGGAGATAGCCAATCTAAGTATGCACAGTAGCCGCTTTTATCCATTTAATGTTTATATGAATGTGACCTTGTTGCAACCGTGGTCGTAAGGGGTTTTATCACGAGATTTTATCTTGTAATGACAGCGCGACGACTTGATAGCCATCCAACTCGCACCACCATGTATTCCTTTTTGTATCGTCAGAACGGTTTGAACCAAATCGACTGATATTGATTGGAGTGCGCGACGCCGGCGAGCCGCATACAACACCATCTACAAATTTGTAATATCTTCACATAAACAGTTTGGGATATTGATATCTTTTGCAATTAGGCTGCCGTGCACTTTGCACAGCGAAAGCTTTAAAATTTTAGAGTCCGCGCAGAGGTTGGGTTTGTGCGCTAAAAAAAGGAACAGAACGAGAGTTCCAAGCTAATTAAGATTATGAAGTTGCTCTACTATTTCAAGAGTCCATATAGATTAGATTAGATGTTAGAAATAAGTTTTATATAGTCTCAAAGCTAGTCCTTCCCCGGTTACACACTGCACCAAGATGTGAGCCACACTGGGATTTACACTTTTTTGTCTTTTCCAGAAGTGACCGTCTACGCGAATCCACTGCGCCTGGTGTGATACTTTACTTTCAACATTTTACCGCGACTGCTTTTCTGAGCACACTTTCGAACTTGTGCACCAAATCGAATCGCTCAGCTGGCCGCACAAAATGCGCATACTTCGTGATTGACGCACTTAACTAATTTTCGATGAGGACGCCGGAGGTTTCTGCGACTAGGCGGATCCAGTGACTCTTCGAGCTCCTTTTTAATACCTTTATCCCCGCTCAACAATATACGGGCTAGCCGCTCCCTACGGAGGAAGAACTCACTGCGATTTTCCGTGTTTTTTTCAGTGGAAAGTATTTCGACACCCCGTTGTGAGATCACTTCGATGTACGGCACCGAGCTGGACAGTGCTCTGGGCGCCCTTCTTGCTCTTCTGCAAGTGCATGAGTCGCACCTTCACTTGCCCAAATCACATTTACGATTTTTAAAACATTCGAAGCCGGTCGCCGCGCTGACACACGTATGTTTTTGAACCTCCCACACACACCAATAGCAAAATATCGACAAGATAGTCGCTCACGAGCGATTAAGCATCCCAGTTGTATGTACTATCTGCGCTTGAAGCAGCAGTGGCTTGGGCAACCATACCCTCCATGAGGGTTGTACTGTAGATACTAGATGTTGGCAAAAGTGCTGATGAGTTACAGACTCAGTTTGCGCACTGGGTAAGGAGGAAACTCTGCCTCATCTGTTTTGTAGCTCTACAAGCCAGCTTCGACTAAGTAGACGTCCACATAGAATATCTCCTCATGCTTGACTTTGCGTAAAACAAAGCACGATGTTAGTGTAAATTTGACGACTTATCACCTTGATTTGATACTTTTAACAGCCTCGTTCGTCTGCATGAGATCAAAGATCCGATTTAACGCAAGGACTAATCTAGAACTGATATAGTCGCTTGTGATCATAAGAGAGATGGACAATGAAGCTGGACCATACTTGGACGGCAAATATATTGCTCGGCATCCAGATCGGTTGCCTCCCAATTGTGGAAAGCGCGCTGCGACTGGTGTCCCTGCCCCTTCTTTAAAAATAATAAAGACTGAAGGTGTGCTAGGTCGCAAACAACTACGGCATCAGGGCAATTTTGCCGAAGTGGAAACTCAACTTCCGCGTTTTGAACTAATGCTAACTCTTTTACTCAATCTACGCTAATATCAGCCCTGGAATACCCACTGGACTCACCACCGCTCCGCATGGAAGTGGGCCAGACCTTACTCATTGAGAAGGTTTACCCTCTCGCAGCTAGCTCTCGTGAGCTCTCTTGGTTGTGGCGGATCGTCAACTCTATCTGAAAGCCACGGCGTGTGTCTTTTACCGAGATGGACCGTATCTTGAATTCGCTGATTGAGCTTTGCCATTGCACTGCTTGATTTGACGCACCCCCAGAGACTTGGAACCACATCGCTGCATTGAAGCAGAGGGTAGCTCAGCTATAAGGGATTGTAAAGGTGTCGCTTCTTCTGCAACAGCGATGTTCACGCCCAGCTTGCTCGTAAGAGCAGTGTCTTGGTATGACTTCTATGTGTCATACTGGATAGTTGATGTGTTCGCATTCTCTTGGGATATCCAAAATACAACTTAACCCCTCCTTCACTATGACCGTGAACGGTCCGACGTAATTCGGTTGCAAGTTAGTGTTATTGACAGCGGTCACTGCATGTGTAGATAGTGCATTTTATTCACATATTGCCCAACAACATTTCCGCGTGAGTTTGGCCTGCCTCTGGCAGTGGCGTGTTTCTTTGTATATCTTGGCTTTCAACTATAGCCTCGCGCACCATGCACATAATGCTCTATCTCATCAAAATAAAATAATGGTTTTGCTGCTAGTGTAGTCGGGCTGATGTTAGCAAGTAAAATGTGACAGACAATGCTCCTCAACGAAGGTCGGACTCACTTCGTGGCGATGCCGAAGGAAATCAGGGATCTGCCGGACAAATCTACTAAGCCTGCAGCGGCATGTACACCATTATTCAGCGCAAGATCCTGAGCGAAAGAAACCCACTTTCGAACCGCGGTATCGCTGCACAAGGATATTCCCTAGAGCGCAAACCACGCGTTCCATCTGAATGTCCGTTTGCACATATTTGTAGGTGATATATCCAATCCGGTGCCTGTACCTTGAACAACGATCGTTGAAGCTTTGCAATAAATCTACTGACGTGATGGCTACCGGCAATTCGTGTTGACGAAGAACTTTGGCTATAAACGTCAGCATAATCGGGCGCCTATTAGGCCGACCAGAGAAGCCGACGCATGCAGTAAAATTCTGACCCGTTGAAATGTTTTACACATGCACACATATGTGCTCACCCATTTATACACCAATACAAAGCGCTCACCGAGCAAGACGTCTTTTCTCTTTCGATGATGAGGGGAAATTATCATGTAATGCCACATATTTTGTGTCTTGTAGAATAACGCCGTAATACAGAAAGCTCTGGGATAAAGCATAGCGGTGCAGGCATGCAATCGCGCGCTTCAATCAAGCAGTATCTGTTTCTCGAATCCAATGCTTCTCAAGGCTTTTAGCAGTGCAACACATATTTCGTCTGTCCCGTTCACGGTACGGATCGCCTCATGATTTGGCGACGTCACCATTGAAAAATTGCAGTGAATCAAAGCTAGGATGACGCAAAAATGTACCAGCCACCATATTTTTAGACGACTCAGCATGTTCCGCAACTCAGAGTTTATTTCGAAAAAGAAGGAGAACGGACTATCCATACGTGGTGATGTGACGACGTCGCAGTGCGAGATAACTATGATCATTACCATATTTCCACACGCATTCAGCAGTGTAATCTCAATATTCAGAGTATTTACAAAAATTTGGGTCTCATCGAAATTTGGTGGTCTACAGGGAAGATGCCAATATCCAGCTATTTCATCCATTTATCATATCCAGGGTTTTATCGCAGTCGTGACCTCATTTCTATATCTTGATGAATATACAACAATTCATATTAAAGATTCAGATAAAGTGTTGCTGACCGAATAGTAGTTTTTCTGGTGAATGATAAAATCTACAAATAAACTTATAGAGAATGCAGGTCGTGTCATGCCAATAATACATTTCTTCTCTTGAATCGATTTATACGGTCGACAGATCATGGGAAATACAGTCAGTGAGTCTGCAAAACTTTGGGTCAACCCTGACACCAAGCTATCCAAAGGTGACATTCCAATATCCAACTATTCAGTCAAATACCGGATTCCAGGGCTCCACCGCATTTAATTCTTATTCTTGATAAATACACGACCAATTATATCGATCGACCAGACCGAAGTCAATCAGATGTTGCTGGCCGTTTTGTAATATTTCATTTTGGCAAATCATATACTAGTAGGAGTTAATGCAGGTCATGCAGCGGGGCTGCCGCAGCTCTTTTGCTTGGAGGAAGGTTAGTTAAGGTCGATGACCTTCGTTCTATACTTCGAACCCGTACGATTGTAGCGGATCGCGATTCGCTTCCTCCAAGAGTAACAACAACCTTGACCCAAGGCTTATTAGCCCTTCCGTTTAAATGAAAACTGTATTTTTGGGTTTTATCTGCGGTATATACGATAAAACCTAATGAAATGCATAAGTACTGGTTGTTCCAGCCACGTACTGACTTCTTGTTTAGGTGTAGCCCCACCATTATGTGGTCACACCATCTTGTGTAACCCACACCAATTTGTGCACATATTATCTTGTGTGACCCTGTTACACTCTCCTTTCATCAAGATTGTGAGCACCTACAGTTCACATTCAACTGTCGCCTCGAATGAGGCTCGCGTGTCTAAGACACCGCAACAGCACCAGGACCTTCATACACTTGTCTGCATATTGATCCCTGTGTCAAAGACAGGGAGGACACCTAGCCTTGCTGGTTCAGATACCGCCCGCGTGCAGAGCCCATCTTCGTCTCCTGCAGGCGGTGCAACTACGGACCGCGCCCGCCACGGGCGATGAATTACCTCGTCGAGGATTTGAAGGAAGTCGACTACAAGTTGTATACTCTTTGCCCTGGAAGGGAAGAAGAATTTCCAGCG